CATTCTGAGCAGACGTTAGGCTTCGGCGGAGGGCTTGGTAGGCGGGATGAAGGTCTATGCCTCTGTTTAGTGTGCCAGTTGAGGACCAACATTCTAGCAGCAATCTGACCATCTTATAGTTGGCTCGGCCTATTACCCTTGCTTTCTCAAAGGCGAACGTGTGGCTCTCCTGCTGTACATGGTCATAGGCCATAGACAGCTTATCATTGCGGTTGATTGCTAGCTGATGCTAATGCAATATTGTACCAAGGCGTGTGCCCGTTTCACCACCATACATTGCATCACAGTCTTGGTATGGTATGCTGTGGACTACAGCTGACTGTTCTGTCAACGGTAGCGGGTCTTTAGGCCTCATTATCTGCTGTCTGGTGGTTGACTCCGGCCTATGAGCCATACCGATCCTGAATGGTTTCAGGATTCTGGCAGCCGCCTCTGATACATTCTTCACGTCAGGCGTCAGGTTAGCGTTCGGACACATTTAATGAACCTAGCAGGAGAACGGTCACCACGTTCTGACGATGGAAGCGAAAAAGCTTTTGAAAGGTCAGCTAAAATACAACCTAGTCCCAGAAATCATTCCTTCTTCCTCTTCCCGGGATAATGAAAGGAATATTATATCTGGACCTCGAATTTTTGCGCATATTAACTATTTCTTCCACCTGGCGTCTAACTTCTTCTCTTCCTCCATGGAAGTGGGCCTGAAGATCCCATCGGCAAAAGTTTTCCCTATTAGCTATACCCACTGCAATAAGCTTCTGGTTATTTTTAGTTTTCATCGCATAAGGGCCATGACAAGCCTCTCATAAACCGACGCATTTGTAACTACTAGGGCTAGTGCAAAATGTACTTCTGCGTTTATTAGCGCAGAATTACGTTTTTTTGCATTTTGCGTCCGTGCCATGATATGTCATAGCAATTTTGATTCTATTCGTTTGTACTAATTGTCTTTGCTATACCATTCGCAAGCGAGGCACGAGCATCTAAATCAAAAAGTCAGGGAAATCGTTGTAAAATTAATCGGGCAATTGGGAAGCACCTGAGCACTGTTCAGTTCGTCTGCCAAAATCACACGGAGGAGGAGTCTCGAAGAAGGAATCCCCCCTCCCCCCACGAATATAAGTAATTACTGAAGTGTGTGTGTATGCGTGTATGCGTCTTTTGTCCAGACTACTGTCTGTCTGGCCGGCGAGTGGCAAGCAGGTGCTCGATGACGATGCAACGTCAAATCTCTGGTGACTGTTTTGGAAGACCACCACCACCACCACCCCCACCACTACAACGAAGTAATATTGCGCAGACGACGATGCCCAGCAACCGTCTAGCATCCATTTGCCTTAAGGGTGCTCTTTTTCCCTGTCCTAACTAAGCTTGCTGGAGCAAAGAAGGGGCTCGGGAAATAAAGCATATTGTATATTGAGCAAGAAAGTGTCACTCACCATATTCGCACTTTTATCCGGTCGGAGGCATTGTGGCATTCGCTAAAAAAATGATACGACACAAACAAGTAGTTGGGAGCACAGTAAATTAAGGACCAAAACAGACAGTACTCAGAATGTAATACGTTAAATAAGCACGAGCGTGGATCGGAATGGAGGGCTTTGAGGGTCCGAGAGCAACAGCTGCCAACATGCTCAAGACAAGATTGTATCAACATCCTCGGCTTAGCAGTCAGAGCAAGTGAAAAAAACAACTCAGCTATAGATCTGAATCTAACGACGTCTCTACGCCTGAATGTTAGTATTGTGGCCGAACGTCAAAACGTCTTTAGCTGGTGTTTCAACCCTTCGCCTTTTGAGACTACAAAGAGGACAGCGACGGGGGAATTTCATGTACAAAGCCTACCTAGTGGGTGTTTACTCAGCGGTCTTTCTAGGTCATTCACTGTTGACAACATATGACCCTGCTGTTTATTGCCTTGGCACAGACGACGGACGTGTCGCCATGATCGCGCCAGCCTAGAGAGTTTGTGAGCGCTGGCGTAACGATGAGCAATTTAAAAGGGAGATAAGTCAGTGACGCATTCAGAGGAGGCTGTACTGGCCATTTTGGAGGCATTTTCGGCAGCAGTGTATTATAGGTACTC